TGCCAGCGCCTGGGGTCTGGCATCAGCGCCAGGCTGTGGCTGCACAGGTAGCGCGGGGAGCACTCGGCTGGCTGTTGTCCCCTGGCTCGCTCGGTGGTGTGTTATGCTAACTAGAAGAACTTTTTTGACATGCAATTTTAAAATTCTAATTGTAGGTGAATTTGACAGACAAGAAGAGGACATTCACTTAGTGACATTATGTGTGACAGGTAAGTTCTGCCATTTTCCCCAGAAATGAAGCTGTGGGTTTCAGGACCGTTTTGCCCTCAGCCTTCCAGCAGGACCTAGGACTAGGACGTGAGTTGTAGGAGACACCCAGCTTGTCGCTGCTCTGCTGACTTGTTTGGGCTTTTCCCGTCGCTGGAATGGCCTTCCCCTCCTGGCCCTCGTCCAAATCCTGCGCAGCCTCGGTTCACACGCCGACTCCCTCAGGGGCACCTCGTGTCTCCTTCCTGGGGATTCTCAGAAGCTTCTCTGTGCCCCCGGGAAGGAGAGGGCGCTGGACCTGAGAGAGGAGCGGCCACCGTGCGTGGCAGAGGTGGTGCATGGAGAAGGCGGGGGACGGAGGGGGCTGACTTCTGCATGTGGCAGTTTGTTCCGCGTAAACCCGCCTGTCCTGGGACTCGGCCGGAAAACAGGGCCTCAGTCCCTTTCGATTTTCTGTCTTCCCCCCTCCCTTTGCAATGAGGGCTCCTTCTTGGTCTTTATTGTACAAAATGAAAACAATTGTTTAGTATTTCTTTAAAATTGTATCTTAAAAATTTTTTTTATCTTGTAGAATTAAATGACCGGGAAGAAAATGAAAACCACTTTCCAGTAATTTATGGCATTGGTAAGTCAGTTACCTACAGGTTGGAGGCTTGGTCACATGTTGACAAGGCAAGCTCCAGTTCAAGTCTGACCCGGCCACCTAGTGACCCCGACTCTGTCAGCGGGTGACGGGCTGAGGTTCAGATCCTAGCTCCTCCGTACGGTTGCTGTGAGGCCTTGGGCAAGTAGCTTCACTTGTCCAACTTTTATCTACAAATGGAAATGAGTACACATCCCCCTGCCGGGTGGCTGAGTGGAGTGTCAGCGGGCCAGGTGTGCTTTCCTCTGCGGGGAGGGAGCGGGGATTTGAATCTTTTTATATTACTACATCAGGAACCCAAGTAAGGTTTTGATTGAGAACTAAGACCCTATAAAAAGAAAGTGGAAAACTATCAGGCTAAAAAAAACCTAGACTCCTCCTCCCTCCCGTCACAGCCCCTAGGACTCCTGAGGGGATAGCACGAAATAGTTGCACAGGGCTTCTACCCTATCTGTAACGTTTTAGTTACTTAGCTGGGCAGTAGGTACACAGGTGTTCATCATTTTCTCTCCGTAACTTTGTGCATGTGTAAAGTTCTACATCATAAAAATTCAAACAAAAATACCAGCCTTCGCCGGATCACTGCCCACCCTTCTGCTTCCAGCCATGCACAAGCAGTGCTGACCGTGGAGACTCTGCCGCGCGACTGCAGGGAGGGCAGCCTGCTCACGTGGGGAGCAGCTCTTGGTTTAGAACAAAGTTCTACCTAACCCAGCTCAGGCCTGCAGCTCTTTTCACTGAGATGCTTGGTGAAAAGGTTGCATTTTCCCTTTTCAGGAAGGGGGCGCTACAGACAATTAGGAACATTTTGTTCCATTTCCATTCTTTTCTCTGTCTCTTCTGTATGGGGGTAGAAATGTGAGACCATGCAAACTCTCCACTTGGGTCTTCTGTCAGTTCAAACTCATCCTGTTTCCCTCACAGCTGTTAACGTCAAAACTGCGGAGATTTACAGAGCCGCCTTTCAAGATCGAGGTCCGGAGGAGGAGCTGCGTGCTGCGCGGGCTTTAACAGGAGGACCAGTGAGTTTGAGATCATCTTTGAGTTAAGGGGTAAAAAAGGCATCAAATGCCAAAGCTTCCAGTTTTATAGATCTTAGAAATGAAAAGTTTATGTCAGCCTCCTTAAAGCTGTAAATTATCAGGGACCACCCCCCCCCCACCCTGCTTAGAAGAGTAATGACCGTTTTTAGATTATAAGCTCCAGATCCCAGTTCTCTGCCTTACAGGGAGCAGGAGGAGGTTTATGTGAACCCACAGCATCCAGATCCAAATACAATAGAACGAACCCCTTTACTTTGTGGTAACATTCCATAGAAAGTTCCTACAAAGAGAGGAGAGCAGGGAAGGAGGAGGAGAGGTTTCTACCTCTCTGCACTTGGGACCATGCATTCTTTTGAACAAGTCATCTAAGAGCAAGTTGCTGGAACAATTAACCCAAAAGAATGATCAAATCAGTTTTAAAGTCCGATTTCCTTAGGGTGCTTTTTAATTAAATAACATTCTAATTTTAAAAGTTAGAAAAATAAAAACCCAGCCGAGTGCAGTGGCTCCCACCTGTAATCCCAGCACTTTCAGAGGCTGAGGTGGGAGGATCACTTGAGGCCAGGAGTTTGAGACTAGCCTAGGCAACATAGCAAGACCCCGTCTCTACAAAAGATGGAAAAAATTAGCCGGGTGTGATGGCAAGGGCCTTGTAGTCCCAGCTACCCAGGAGGTGAGGCAGGAGGATCGCTTCAGCCCACGAGTTTGAGGTTGCAGTGAGCTAGGATAATGCCCCTGCACTCCAGCCTGGGCGACAGAGCAACACTCTGTCACAAAAAAAAAAAGAAAAGGAAAACCTAAGACTCAACATGCCACTTGAGGAATGGGTGAAAGAATTCTTTTAAAATGCTCAAAATGTGAAAAAATAGAAGTCACATTCCGTGCACCCAAAAGAAATCTGCTCATTTATGAAATGCTGACATTTTCATTGGAAAATGTGTTTGGATTTAGAATGATTTGTTTTGGCAACACTGTAACCTTCTCAGGATTTCTCTTATAATTTCTCAAGTAGCATAATAGCCTTAAATTTAGTTAACATTCAGAACATATTTTAGTATCAGTAACCACAATTGCAAATTGCATATTGCTGGTTAAGCTGGAAGTTGCCATCGGCAAATTTGGGAATTCAGGGAATTGATCGTTTGGCAAGTTAGCTTTTTTACAAGTTGGTTTTTCCTTTCTTTTGATGAGGCAACAGGCATTGTGTGCTTTTAAATTGCAAGGTGATTAGTTGCTTTCAGTACAAATGAGGCAATGTTTTATGTAGCAATGAAGAGCATGGTCTTTAGTCAGAGACACCTGGGTTTAAGGCTCAGCTCTGATGCTTACTGGACATGTGACCTGGGAAATGTGCCCCGTCCCTCTAAGTCAAGTTTTCACCCCAAATGGGAAAAAATGCCATCTTCTTGCAGGATTGTTGCACAACCAAACACAATAACGTTACCCACAAAGTGCGGCAGCAGACACATTGGAAGCGCTCAGTAGGTGGCAGCTTTTGTTGGTGTTTGAGACAAAATTTTTAAGAAGCTTATCATCCAGATAAATGCCTTAAATACTAGACTGCACTGGAGCTTGCACTAATGGTAGGGTTTGAGGAGTGGGTAACATTCCTTAAACTCTATCCTTGAAACGTTCTTTAGATGATTAGCATCTACGATGCAAAGACAGAACAACTTCGCATAGAACCATTTTCCTGGGTGCCATTTCCACATGTGGATTTCTGGTTGCAGCAAGATGATAAGCAAATACTAGAGGTGAGAATTTACAGGTTGGGTAAGTCTTACATCTCTGGACCCTGGTTTCCCCATCTGTAAGAAAAAAAAGGGTTTAGACTGGACAATAGCTGCCTCTCCTTCATTGGGTAGTGTTTGTTTTTTGAATGCCATTGCCAGAGCCCATTGAACTTCTGTGTTAATTGGGGATAAGTAATGTCCTGGGTAGAAACGTTTACAGGCAAGGAGTAAGCATTCAACTGCTTTTTTCTCATTATCCGAGTACACCTCATTTCTTACATATTTTACTATATCCATCTATTTTTCTTACTATGTGTGTGTGTGTGTGTGTGTGTGTGTGTGTGTGTATATATATATATAGTGATCTGAGAACACTTTGACATCTTTATCAAAGTAAGGAATAGCAAGGTGACTCTTTTCTCCTGCCCCTCATCTTGTTTTTTCAGAACTTTTCCACTTCACCTTTGGCCGAGCCCCCCCACTTTGTTGAACATATTAGATCTACCTTGATGTTTTTAAAAAAATACCCATCTCCAACTAACACACTGTTTCCTGGAAATAAGGCTCTACTCTACAAAAAAAATGAAGATGGTGGCTTATGGGAAAAGATGTCTTCTCCAGGAAGCTAAAGATAGGAATTATCAGATAAAGCAACTTTTTGGCATGACAAAGACCATTGGTGGGGGCTGGAAGGAATATGGATTTGGAACCTACATCTATTGAGTCTTAGGTCTGCTTCCTTACTTGGTGTCTTTCAGATAATTTTCAAAATAAAATCTTATTTTGGCAAAGGCATTCGTTTAGATTTACTTTTTGCCTTACTAAAAAAAGCTGATGTCCAGCCTTTTCTTTTTGGTCAGTAGTTAACGGGCAGAGGAGAACCTGTCTCACTGGTCTAAAAGCAGCTATTTCAGATACTTAGGTAAGTGTCTCTAATTCTGCTAAATTAACAAATGAAGTAAAAGTTGTAATTGAGTTTGTTTGAAACAATATTTAAAATTCAATGAGACTTTATGTATCTTAGAGATGTGTGGTGTTCTTTTTGTCCCTAGAATATTTTAGAAGCTTCAAATCCAAAACTGCTCTATTCTCTAGATAGATGAAAGTTTCAGAAAGAAAAACAGGGTTTGATCTCACTGTTGTCCAATATAATTATCTCTAAAATAGATAATCTCCTGTGAGATTAAATTTCATCTCAGATTTACACAAAGCCACTGATAAATCTGTTCTTATAAAGTGTAAGGTCATTAAAATGCCCAAATTGTGGTTATTATGCACATATTTTCAGAAACCTTTCATTTTTCTAAAGTTATTATCTATTATAAAAGGAAATCACCATGCCCAATAGTAAGATTTATAAACTGAATTCACTGGTAACAATTTCAAGAACCTTTATTGAAACCAACATTCAAATAGTATTTCAAGGGTGAAATGTTTCAGCAAAACCAATTTAACAATTCCAAATATATAAAAACATTTAAAAATTAATCTTGTTAAAGGTGATAATTTACCCCTCCCCCATTTTATGTTATACTTCATTGCACCAAATAAACAGGGAAGACTTTGTTTAATCATCTTTAAAAAAGGAAAATTGCATTTTGACAAGTGCCAAATGCCAAAAATCACATCAAATCAGAAAGTAATTATAGGCTTAACATGGTATAACTAAGGCTTCCAATACTATAGTTCCACAAACTCAGTATAAATTCCCCACCATTTTAAGATCTCCCATAGCTTGACTTTGTTGGACTAAAAAGGCACAGGGGACATTAGGATAAACGAAGTGATGCAGTACTTTGGACAAGTAGAAACGGGCAGTAATTAAGAGTTTACAATAATTTCAGCAAGTAGTCTGGCTTGGTCAGCCTGAGAACAATTACTCTTCTGGTTCTTTTCTAAGCTGGGCCCAAGGGGTGAGCTGCTAGTGGAGTAGAAGCTACAGAGGCTTCATTCGACGTGGGACAGGTCAAAGGTACATTTTAGAACTTAAACCTAAGTAGGTGCTACACAGCATATTTAATAATAGGCTCTTACGGGTAGCATCTATCAGGTTTTCAGATACTAAACACAGAAATAAGCAATCTGTACTTATCTGCCAATTTAAAAGCCAGTATTTAAAAATATACATCTATATGGTCAGGAAGAGACTTTACAGTTACTCTTAATAGAGGATTCCTTAAATTTGTTTCCAAAGAGTATATAAAGGGAGAAATGGATTTGTGGCAGAGGACAGTCCCAGAGAGAAACCCTGCCACAGCTCAAGTGGACACAGTCCTTACTTAAGTCTCCAGGAAGAGCAGCAGCTGGGGTAGCAGGAGAGCGCTTCTGCCACTCTTATTTACAATCCAGTGGAAACCCATTCTCCTTTAAGCCAAACAGTCCAGCCGTGTATTGCAACTTGATCATACTAAAGACCAACTGAAACAGATGGCAAAGAGCGCCGGCCGGCTGGCTCGCCCCGCCAAAGTACAGCAGAGAACCCAGAGAGCTCTAAGGAAAGCTGTTTTACCAAAAGGTTATTATGTGCAACCCAATAACTCATTATGTGTATGTTTAGAAAGATAAGAGCAAGTGTTTCAAGTGGCAGGCACTTGAAATTCTAAGTGTTCTTTGTGAATAAAAAGTGTTTATGGCAACTTGGAGGAAAAATGGTATCACTACAGCTGAGTAGGACGGAAACAATAGGTACTGGTTGTTCTATATACACATAAAATTAGACCAAAATGATTGCCCTCCTAGAAAGCCTGGCTTTCAGGCGCAAATTTGTGCAAAAATCCCAGTTAAGCACAAACAGCATTAATTGATAGTGTATTAGTGTGTGGCACAGTTCACATTCTCAGTACAACTTCATCTTCCCTGAAACAACATTCAGTACAGTCTCAAACCAGACACTGAGTTTTATCTTAAGCTCTCCGGTTCTTCTACCTGTGGGCAGTCATCTTCTGGGCGCTGGTCCGCCTTCTGGGGGGTGGGAGCCCCTGGGTGTCCCTCAGGGCTGCTGGCCTCTAGGGTGATGTGCTCCGGCCCACTGGACAGGTGCTCCACCTTTTCTAAGTCTTCGATGTGACTGACTGAGCTCGTCTCACTCAAAGCATCTGAACCTCTCAGGGACCTTTTAAAAGGCTTCTGGCCTAGGGGAAGAGCAGATAGCGCTGCAAGCTTGACACCTCTGTGCCAAAGGCTTTCTGTGGCAAGCAACTGCTTTATTTAACAATAACTGCTTTAGCAGAAATCCCTGGAATTGCTGGTTCCGAGGCAGTTTAGGAGATAAGGAGAGAGCTGAAAGCTGCTATCATGACACCAACATGCTTCCCAGACTGGGAACTTCCCAGGCAACCTTAGGAAATCCTCAGGAGAATAAACACCATGGTTAAAATAATGCCATCTCTCAAGCCCCTTGGAGTGCTAACCAAGATAATGCTTCAAGGTTAAATCCCAGGCTACTGAAACGGTTATGTAAATAGACAGTAAGAGCTGGGTCTTAAGAGAAATAGGTCTTTGAGTTAAAGAACCCAGAAAACAAAGGAATGCAAGTAACAGCAAACGGGGGGAAGCTCTTACGTGATGCAAAGGGCGATTTTCCTAAGAGAAATACTACCGGTTTTCTTTGGTGTTAATGAACTCAATCATGAAGATGTACCTGGAAGTCTCTGTTTCGTGCGAATGCCTGAGGGGGTTGGAGGTGGTGTTACTCCCGCACCCTGTGCTTTGTAGACGTAGATGGGTTCTGTGGACTCCAGAGAGCCTACAGGAAAAAAAAGGAGAGGGGTGGGCAGAAGCTCCTGGCACAGGCTGCCCTGGGAGATGCCACCTGCTCTCACACAGCCTTGTTCCCCAACAAGCTTCTTCCGGCCATCCCGCTTGCCACAGACTGGTGGAGACTTGGGCACTTCTGAAACATGCCGAGAACCACAGAAAGCCGCCTTGCAGCTGGCTCTCAAGGCCCAGCCCTGTTGAGTCTCCTGAGTACTGAGAACACTGAGCCAGCAGCGTGGCACAAGCGTGCCTGGGGCACCAGGCCCAACTGGGAAATGTACTTCAGCAACAAGAAACGATGCCTCTTTACTAAAAGCTGAGGCTTGGCAGATTAAAAATCAGATTATCTTCTGCTTTCATGACAACGTAGTCATCACTTCCTGGGGAAGGAACAAAGGCAGAAACCTCGGGTTTAGGAAATAACTTCCTTGGTAGAACAGGAAAGGAGGAATCACTAATATCTTCCCCAGACTCCAGTGACTGATAATACTTGCTGGTTGCCTGGTTTAAAATAAAATGATCCAGTGCTACATACTACAATCTTTGAATTTCCCCTTTCAAAAGCAGCCCTTTGCTGGGGGAAAATAGTAATGAGGACTGCAAGGAACATTAACCTTGAACTAAAATGTCCAAGACACACTACCTTGAGAGTCTGAACAGCTGAATTCACTGGATTCAAGGAAGAGGAGTGTGCTTGGGGTAGGGAATGGGTATCTGCTTTCGTACTGTTTCAGCTGTCAGGGTGGGAGGAGGATGACAGCAGCAGGGACAGACCTCATCGCCTTGGATTCCTGGCACAGTGCCAGCGATAAGGAGCTGGAACTCTAAAGGGCTTCTCGGCATGAACTGTGCTGGGACCTGAGAGCATTTGGTCAAAACTCCCAAGGTAAATGAGATTTGGTGGAAGCCAGTTAGTCATACCTGCTGTTAAGTTAAAAGTTCTTCCCTTCTGCAAAGCTTGTACGGGAGAAAACCAATTCAGCACAGAGCCCACTACGGGTATCTGCCGTAACACTCCCTGCAAAACATAACCATTGCTCAGGAGCATCTTGCTGAGTCCCACTCCCAGCCAGGAAGTCCCATCAGTAGCCTCACCTCTTCCAGGAGTCGTTCCTCATTTGCCTTCTGCAGCTCGACCTGAGCCTCCTGAATTCCTTTCCGAACAACTTCGGTCATGTTTTCCAGAAGCTGTGTTAGGACCGGGAAAGATATTACCTGTCTAAGCTTCTTGCCCAGGGCCTAGAAGAACTAGTAACACAGCACTGGGGACATTCTTCAAAAGTCTGTCAGTAAATGGAACCCTGCATTTAAACGCCAGTGTAAAAATACAATAGAAAATCAAACAGAAGAGGATAAAATGCTCACGGAGGCCTGAGCAGACATATCTTGGGGACCAGCCTCATTTGCCAGGCAACAGAGGAGAAGTAACTACTTTAACCTCAATGTCATATCCATACAAAACAAACATGCTGCTCAACATTCATGAAGACAGAATCAGAATACAGGCAGGTTTGGGAGAAACCTTAAGCAGCCCACCCAAGAACGAATAAAGCTGGCTCCTCTGCCTCATTCCAAACTTCCTTTTCTTCCCCATTCTGCCAAAAGTGAATCACATGACACGACACGTATGTCTGTCTTCTCTCAGACCAGTCTTGCTATGGTCCCTTTTCTCTCCTTTTGAGTGATTTCTAGGGAATTAATTGTCTGCTTTGGAGAACACTCTTTAAGCCGTGGAGCCTATGCTTCCTGCCAACTGACCAATAGAAAGCAGCAGGTCTATTTATTACTGGCGGGAAGTCCTGTAATCAGAAACACCATCTCAATCACCCTCAGGACCCAGCTCCAATAAGTCTCCCCTGACCCTGGCAGGCAGAGGTGAATGTGTCTTGCTGAATGCTCAGCTACCAGACCTGTATTCCACAGCATTTACATTTCTCTTTACGTGTATCTTCCCCACACTGGCTTGTGAGCTCGCTGGGGTAGGGCTGTGTCAAACCTACCTGGCATTCCTGATGCCTGGCTCAATGCCTAGTTCACAGGAAACATTTATAAACTTTTTGGGAAAGAATGAATGAATGGACATCCCTAAGGGTGTCTTTTCTTTGTGACCACTGCTAGTTGGGACAAAACCCAGAAAAGGATCGAAACACTGAATACTCTTACAGACCCTTGAGTTTTCCTCAATTTCCCGGGCTGTGACTACAATGGTCTCCACGAGCTCAGAAATGTCTGTGTCGTCGCTCGTCATGCCAATGTAAAGACAGCTCTTCATACTTTTATATTCGGGGCCTGTAGGAAGAAACAATAGACAAACTTGGTTTCCAAGTGCTCTGTCGTGAGACACAGGCCCACTCTCCTGTACGATAGCGTGTCCACGCAGAAAGGAGTGTCCTTTTCAGAGACTCTAATAAGGACAGGGAAAAGGCCCCTGAAAGGCTGTAGGAAGAACCACATCTTCCACCTAGAACTAAACCAGTTTCCTCTAAAGATATCAAACTCATTTTCCTTGAAGACAGGTAGAAAATGTCCTTCCAAAGGTCACAGTTGCTTTATAAAAATAATTACCCATTTTAAATGTAAGGTCAGATTCCAGTTCATTTAACTTTTTCAGGAGTCCAGCATGGATTTTTTCCCCTTCAGGATCTGATTTCAAACTGGTCTTATCATCATTAGCATGTTCATACCTATAAACAAGATCGAACAACATCATTTCAATCTAAAAGATCAAACTGGCTGGGCGCGGTGGCTCACACCTGTAATCCTCTCCGGGAGGCCGAGGCGGGCGGATTGTTTGAGCTCAGGAGTTCGAGACCAGCCTGAGCAAGAGCGAGACCCCGTTTCTACTAAAAATGGAAAGAAATTAATCGGACAACTAAAAATACATAGAAAAAATTAGCCGGGCATGGTGGCATGCCTGTAGTCCCAGCTACTCGGGAGGCTGAGGCAGGAGGATCGCTTGAGCCCAGGAGTTTGAGGTTGCTGTGAGCTAGGCTGACGCCACCGCACTCTAGCCCGGGCAACACAGTGAGACTCTGTCGCAAAAATAAATAAATAAATAAATAAATAAATAAAAGATCAAACATCTCTTAGACACAGAATTACAGGAGTATAAAGCACAGAGATTATCAAGACTGTGGAATGAGACAAATGGGTAAAAGAGCTACTGATAGTGTCCGGAGACCAAAAACTTTTAAGAATGTCACAGGAAAGCCTAAGTCTTAGGTCTGTGAAAATGAGAGAGGCAAGGTCTTGAAGTCTCATCAGTAGTAATAAAAAGATACTTGCCTCATCTTTAAAGGAGCTGGAAAGCAGCCACAGGACAGCACGCACTGAACTAGAGAGGACTAGAATTTTCTCTTTTTGGGGAATTGGAGTTTTTTCCCTTACTGATTTGTAATGGTCTATATACCCTGGAGAGTAACCATTTGTCTTTTAAATATGCCCATCTATATCTTCTCCTAGGTACTTGAGAACTGGCTCATAAAGACAACATACAGCAACTCTGACCTCACTGAGTGCACTGGAGGCCAAGTCACCTGTCTGCACTGTGCTTCTGTAAATGCCCGGAAAATCCAGTTGAATTTTCATTAGACAAGTACATTTTGACTACACATATTCATTCTGGATTTCTAAGCTAGTTCACAAAATGACCCACCCACGTTCTTTATGCAGCAAAGTCTCTAACGGCAATTGGCGAGCTGAAACTTTACCTGACAACCCCTATTCCAGGCCAGTTAGGGTCGTCAACATATAAGAGACCTGCCGTTCCTTCCACTTCCTGCTTGAACTCTTCTCGTAGCTGCAGCGTACAGCTCAGGACTGGCAGCTTGCTTTGTATGCAGGCTACAAGCTGATCCACATCCTCTCCTCGGGTTCCTAAAACTGAAGAGGTTCGTAGAATGTTAGAGAAACACTTACAGGATGGCTAACAAGAGGACACTTCCACTACTGGGAAGGGCAAAAGCTCCAGGTATATCAAATTAGCTGGAGCTGAGGACTTTTTTTTTCATATTTTTATTTTTTATTTACTTTTTTTGAGAGAGAGTCTTGCTCTGTTGCCCGGGCTAGAGTGCTGTGGTGTCAGCCTAGCTCACAGCAACCTCAAAACTCCTCGGCCCAAGTGATCCTCTTGCCTCAGCCTCCCAAGTAGCTCAGACTACAGGCATGCATCACTATGCCTGGCTAATTTTTTCTATTTTTAGTGGAGACGGGGTCTTGCTCTTGTTCAGGCTGGTCTTGAACTCCTGACCTCAAGTGATCCTCCCACCCTAGCCTCCCAGAGTGCTAGGATTACAGGCCTGAGTCACTGCGCCCAGCCTGGACTTTTAAAAGCCACTCGACCCAGATATGGAAGAATCGGGTGTTAAAAATTAACACAGCCGCTGTTCCAGGTATAGTTTTTTCTTTCATAAACTATTTGATATACAATGAAACACTCCAATGTACAAATCAGACTTCTCGCAGAAAGCCTGCTTCAAGCAGGTTATAAACATCATACTACAGATTAAAAACAAAAAAGCAACCACAGATTCTCTCTTTTACATGATTACAACAGAGAGAAAGACAAGTATTTTGGTGATTTGTGCCCCTACATGGGAAGGGCAGGAAGATGGTGACAGCACCAAGTCATTTCAAGGTCAGTGCTTGAGAAGTCTCAGGGCTCCAACAGCTTGGCGACAGTACTACTCCCTCACTTCCCAGGCGTCATCAGCCTGCTTTTCCAGTTTCAAAGACTAAGCCTCTAGGGCTGCGGGTGAGGCCACCAGCAGTCTTCACGATGGCTAAGAAAATGCCTGCACTTTCTTACTTTGATGTCTTTGAGAAAACATCTTCCCCAAAATATTGAGAACAGCTCATGAAAAACCACAAACATTGTCTCAAAATGTTGAAATAATTTTGCAAAAAAGCATGACCAAATTTTTAATATCTCTTTTTTCAGATTATTTTTAAGTGCCTACTATGATATGCCAAGGCATTTCATGTACTTGATCACATTTCAGTCTGCACATCACTACCATGGGGTAGTGGGGAACAGGTCTGGAGATCAAAAAACTTACTCAGGGTCCCACAGGTATGAGGTGGCTGAGAGGGGAGATGTACTTAGGACTTTCTGTCATGAATCCACATACTTTTCAGCCTCATTGCTTTCTCAAATATCTAAAACAGTGGTTCTCAACCTTTACTGGCCTATTAGAATCACCAGGGGACCTTTTAAAAACACAGATGTCCAGGCTCTGTTCCAGATCAAGGAAATCAGCGTCTCTGTAGTTGGGGCAGCTGTTGGTAGTTTTAAAGCTCCACAGGTGACTCTACTGTGCAGTTAGGAGTGAGAACCATTGGACTAGAAAACCAAGGATCCTAAAACATCAAAATACAGGAATTGAAGTGACTTCAGAAGTCTCAGTCTAATTCTGAGAAGTTATACTGGAATACTAGTCTAGCTACATTTAGCCCCAAAGAAAAGAAAAAGCCCCTCTTTTTGGAGATGCTGGTAACTATAAGAGAATAGGACATTACAAGGGAACGCTAATGAGCCCAACAGCCTGGACTTTAACACACACGTAATTGTTTCTCCCCAGAACGAAAGTGAGGGAAATCTGCTGGGACTAGCTACCTGCTGCTGTCATCAAAGGGCTGAAGCGCACACATGTGCCCTCAACTTCCAGATCCATGACAGTGAGGCCACTCGCAGGCACCAGCTGTTTCAACTGTTCTCCCAGCTGCAGGGAAAAGGACAGAGTGAATATACTCCTGCAACGAGGGCATCAAACGTCTCTGAGACCTGCCCTCACCCACTCAGCCTCAGACCAAAGAGGCTCCTCTTTTGATTGTCTTTGAATACTTATAGCAACTTCTTTTTAAAAACAGTAAACTTTATATTTTTCTTAAATAAAAGTGCATTGTAGAAAAATCTAGGAAATATATGTAAAGCAAAAGAAGAAAATAATTACCCACAACACACCACTCAGAAACACCCACTGCTGACATTTGGTGTACTCCCCCCGGTCTTTTCTCTGAGTGGAGTGAGTGTATTTTTTGTCATCATAAAACATGATATTCTACACTGTTCAGTAACCTGCATTTTCCCACTTAATTTATGGTAACCACTTCTTTCTGCCTTTAACATTCGGCTTCATGGTTTATAATGGCCGTTTTGAACTCCACTGCATGGCTGCACTGTAACTCATGCCCCAAGCACCTCTGTTGGGCATGTCCAGTGTTGTGCTGGGACTGACATTGCTGTGGTGAACATCCTTTCACGGTTTGGAACATTCTTTACACTAAAATCCTAGAGGCACTTTTTCAGTGTCAAAAGAGCTGCCGAAGCATAAGGGCTTGACGCACGCTGCCAGCTTGCCAAAGGTACTCGGCGGACTGTGGCCTGTGCACCTCCTGAGAGTGCTGCACACACTCCCCACAGCTCCAGAGTGGCTACGCTGCAGTCCACACTTGGCATGTTGTTTCACAGCCTTATAAGGCAGCAAGGAAATGGTCGCATGAGGAAACGATGCTAAAAGGACTTGCCAGAGGTGACACAGTAGGTCAAGCACTGATCCAATTTGTAACAGAACCCCAGAAAACAAGCCCAGCACTTCAAGGAGGCTCCCTCCTGGGGCTGGTTTCCCACACATGACCATGTGTTACCCCCACCGTCAGGGCAGTCGGTGATGCTCCAGATATAAAAGAAAAAGGAGACAACTTCCATTCTTACCCAGCGATTCAACACGTCACAGGAGTGTCTCTCCCGGCCGACTGTTGAAGGTGCCATGTTGGGGGCCAGGACAGCTTTAAATACCGGGTCTGACGCTAAAACACAGAAGGGGGAGTCACTCCCAGAAACTCGCCTAACCAAAACAAACACCCCTCCAATCCCATTTCACTAATCCCAATATTAACCCAAGGGAACAGTCTCATGTATTACAGAAACCAAATGTACATCTGATAGAAGGTTTAAAGTTCCACTTTTTTTCTCATGAACTATGTAACACTTGAATATATTCACGCAAACAGAATTCTTAATTTCATTAAAAAAAGGTTTTCTTTCAAGGAATTTCAAGAGGAAATCAAAGCAAACATTGCAAGTTAACTAGTCTACCAAGCACCGTGCAAGGTCATGAGAGTGCTGAAGAGCACCCAAGATTGGCCTGCACGAGAATTATTCTTCACTCATCAAAATGGTTTAGGTGCCTACTCATGCCAGGCCCTGTGCTTGACATTGGGATTTAGGGCAGACTAGGTTTTTGTAATCTCAGAGCTTCCATTCTAGTTGAGGAAACAGACCATAAAAAAGAAAGAAAATCATTGTATGTTGTTGTTAGTGCCATGCGAGAAGGTGGGAGCTCTGATACAGTATGATGGAGTCACTTCAGACAGGATGGACAGGGAAGGCTCTCTGAGAAAGGTGGACACTGAGTGGAGACCTAAACGTTAAGGAGGAGTCAGCCATCAGAAGAGTGAGGGGAAACGTGTGAGGAGTGAGGGGGAACAGCAAGCAGCCAGGTCCTGCACTAGGACAGAGCAGCATTCTAGGAACGAGGACACTGGTATGACTGACGCACAATGAACAACAGGGAAAATAACCTGAGAGGAAGTCAGAGCGGAAGCTAGGGCAGAGCACGCAGGCTCTTGGGGCATGGTAAAGAGCCTGGATTTCATTCAGCTGAACACAGTAAGATGCCCAGGGGTTGGGGCAGGGAAGTGCCACAGTGTGATCTGCCCTCCATGTGGAGGTGGAGAATGCATGACAGAGACCAGCTGAAAGGGGCCCATGGCCACCCAGGTGAAAAACAATGGTCCTTGGACTGGGCTGGTGGCACCTGGGACATTTTTTAAAAATGGAGATTCCTGGCCACCGGATCTGCTCAGAAGATGTCAGGATCGGAGGAGCTTCCTCAAGGCACGCGCCAGATGCATCCACACAGAAAACAAACCATGTTCACTGAGAAGCAACTGAAAGCTTTGAACGTCTTGTTCAATGAGAACCCATATCCAAACCCCAGCCTTCAGAGATGGCCTCAAAAATCGACATACATCCAACAGTACTGCAGGTTTGGTTCAAGAACCATAGAGCAAAACTGAAGAAGACAAAATGCAAGAATGTTCAGCAAAAACAAGGAGCTGAACAGCCACAGACACCTGAAGGTGGAATCAAGGCCAGTCCCAGCCAGAGAAGTACGGAAATACAACCCAGATCCGCGACCGCTGCCTACCCTGCAGCCCTCATTTACGTGGGGCTCCAGGCACCCTCGTACCAACTCGGCTTGTACCCCACCATGAGGGTCCCTACAGATGTCTTCTTTGGCCACAGAATAGTCCACTTTGGCTGCTGCCAAGACCCTAACATTTACTCCCTCTATCCTATTGTGGAATCCCAGGTTGGTTCTCCACGCTTCGGTCCTCACGTTTTTGGCTGTTCACTTCTACAAAGCAGGGAGAGACACGAGCCCTAAAAGGCCACGTGTAACGATTCCTATTCAGGAGACCACAAGAGGTAGACAATAGAGGCACAAATTTATCGGGGTGATGGAAATGTTTCCTGTCTTAATTATGGTGGGAGTTACCTGGGGGAGTAAATTCGTCATAACACTCAGAACTGTACATCTAAAACCTCTGCATTTTATCTTACATAATTAAACCTCAATAAAAACCATATAGTGAGAATAGTAAAAAAAAAATATGGAGATTCCTGGGGGGTCCAACCTACTGAATCAAAATATGTGGTAAACAGGGCCTAAAAATCTGTATCTCCAAACGACTCTTTCTCAGCCACTCCAGCACTGGCCCAGGGACTGGCATTTGGGACCCGCTGGTTTAATCACAGCAAACTCTCAGCAAAATGCTAAAACATTCAGGACTGAAGTTCTTGTAAATACTGTTAAATTTTTCTGAAATGATGACTGATAATTTTAGCAATAAAAATATTTTGGACTATCTAACTTGAAATGGTACCAAATTCAAAGCCCTTAACCACAGATATGAAAATAATCCTCTTTTAAAAATCACCTACCTGAACCTGTTAATTCCTGGAAAAATCTGAACACCACTACTGGAGAACTAAGTTCATCTTCCACCTGCAAAAATGGAAGTCTAGTATTACTAAGTAATATTAAATTCCACACATCTACAAAATGAAATGGTGAGTTTGAAAAATAGGCTAGAGATGCTCTATTTTGTAAATAACACATTAAAAAATTCAAAGGTTAATTTCAGTTGCTAGAGAAACAAAAATCAAAAACCAAGGGTTTAGTAAAATTTCTAGAAATTATGAATCAGCCCTGAGAGTACACTGTAATTTGTAAGATATTTGACATTAGTACATTAAAATAGTAATTTTAATAATAATGGATAAACACAGATCTAACATTAAAGCTCAGAAAAGTTAAGGAGAAAGTAGGACTAGAATCAGTGTTGAGAGAGCCAATGCTTTCAAGAATCCCAGAAATTCTGCAGGATTTACTAGAACTTTTTATACTTACAGGGAGGAAAAAGGTAACAAATACTTTCTTCTCACCTTGTAAAACTTTTGAAACAGTAAGTCCTGCAGGCAATGTAGATAACCACAGTCTAGAACTGTATCTATTTATTTTCTAAATATATGTACTTATATTTAGTATTTATATTCAGTACTTATTATTCATGAAAGACATCAGATGACATCAACAGGTTTCACGGCAGATGAAAACGTGCACTGCATTAGGGAAACCCAGCACTACACTGACGCACCCACAGAACAAATGTACACTCAGCCCTCAGCTCCAGCCTGGGTCAGGGTGCACAGGAGCAGCGATGTCCTCAGCAGGCTCTGTGGTATTTTCTGGGGTGTGGGCGGCATTGGAGGAGAAGATCTCTAAGCATTCAACCACTCCAGCACTCTAACTCTAGACACAAAACTTACATTTCAAGGCTACCGGCATGGTGACTCATTAGCAGGGCCACAACAGGAAATGCTCTTGGAAAGACAGGAATTAGTTGGCCTAAGATCTTTTCTGGTAATTTTTCAAAGGACTGTGTGGATGTGATTCAAATCAAGCAGGATTTGTATTCAAATCTGCCAATTATTTATTTAGCCAGTTCCTGTGCTAAATGCTTTCACATCTATCATCTCCTTTGACTTTCACATAAACAAAACTATTAATACTTGCAAAGGCACAGGGCTTAATATTTAAATAGAATGGAGTAAGCCTATTAAGCAAGTAGGAACAAAAAACATGACAAAATAATCCACCCACTTCCCCATCCTCAGTTAGGAGAAGGTAGAATGATTTGAGGGCCAAAACTTCTGTGTATATTATGATCATCTCTTCTTTCTTTTTTTGACCTCAGTGGTCCCAAATGTCTGTGTGCATAAGAAATACAACACAGGGCTATATACATCTACTTCTGGTTCTAGCAACATGGTAGACTGAGCTAATACCAAAGGTATCAATTTAAATCCTCAAAATGCTATATTATAAATATAACCAAATATGACCAAAAAAAGGTTAAAGCATTGCTAGGCTCACAGAAAAAGGATGAATCCAGAAAGAAGAGGAAAGAGAAAGACAACTGTAAGCTGAGCTGCATGTCTAGCACCTGGCACTTGGCTTTCATGGCTTGGGTCTTAGGTATTTTTTTGAGACAGTTTCTCAATCTATTGCCCAGGCTAGAGTACAGTGGCATCATTATAGCTCACTGCAACCTCAAACTCCTTGGGCTCACTCAATCCTCCTGCCTCAGCTTCGTAAGTAGCTGGGACTACAGGCAATCACCACCACACCCAGCCAGGTTTTCTAGTTTATGTAGAGATGGGGGTCTAGTCTTGAACTCCTGACCTCAATCCTCCCACCTCTGCCTCTGACAGTGCCAGGACTATGACATGAGTCACTACACCTGGCTCGGTCTTAGGGTTTAAGTCCCATGTGAGGGACAGTAATGAGTCTGCATAAAACTTTTATGAAGCTTCTGTAGGCGAAAGCGTCAACAAATATGACTTCAGATAGTAACAAGTGCAATGAAGAAGGAAAAAACCCAGGGGATAGAAAATGATGGATGGTAGTGGGAAGTTCGCTTGGTCAGGAAAGGTGAGATTTGAACTAAGATCTGAAAGAAATCAGCCATCAGAACTGGGGTCGGAGCACAGTATTTCTAGGCCGGGGGAATAGCATGTACAAAGGAGACTGTTGTGAGGGTTAAACAAAATAATGCATGTAAGGTATTTAGTACCATGTGTGGTATGGTATCTAGTAAGCATTTCACAAGCAGCAGCTGCAGTGGTGATGATGATGACAGGCCACAATGCCTCCTGGTATCTGCCAGTTACTGTATCCTCTAATGCAACAAGCAGCCATTGGAAGGGACAGAGCAGGGTTTATGCGTGGACCATGTGTGGCCTTACAAAGAAGCTCCAAAACAACTGGTGATTAACTAAGGCCATCGGATATCCGCCATTTGAAAACGAAGGAGTATCGAGGAGGTTAGGAACAGTCAAGTAGGGGGCTCAGCAAGGCAGGCACAGGAAAAGCATCCAGGCCCAGCACTGCCCTGATTCTCAACAGCCTGCTCAATCTAGTCCATAATTTGGGTCTCTTTGTTTGAAATCAGGGGGTTCCAACCAACATAACTTTCATTTGACAGCTGAGCTTATGAGCTCAGGAAGTTATGAAAGTGACTCAATGTCACAGGGCCACCCTGTGGCATCTCTGAGAGTAGAACCCAAGCTCCTGACTTACATTCCTCCTTCTGCTTCCCCAATGGCCTACCTCCTTGTCCAAGGTTCCCCCAGCTAGAACTTGGGTCAAATGGCCCCAGGTTCCATCTCAGAAAGCAATGCAGAGTAGCTACCTCCCTTAAACCAAACCGTGTTCTAAAACAGAAATAAACTGTACTAACTTAACACATTAACTGCCATGTGAGTTGTATTTAACTCACGCTAGTTTTGAGCCCAGAGCCTTGTGAAGCATATGAAACTCACATGTCTCTTCACCCTAGGAACTGCGAGAATTTATTTTCCAAGTTGCATATAACTCACACACAGAAAACAATAAAAAATAACAAATTTTTCATTAAATTAGAAAGGATTGTTTTGTTTTCAAAGTTTTTATTCTATTTTTATAATAAAATACCGTGGCCCCAAGGAAAAAAATTTTTTTCTAGTGTGGCAATGTGTTAAACCTCAAATAAACTCAGAACTTAGTTTTTTAAAAAATCTTTTTAATTTTAATGTTTTTTTTAGAGACAGTGTCTTGCTCTGTTGCTCAGGTTGGAGTGCAGTGGTCACAGCTCACTGCAGCCTCAAACTCCTGGGGTCAAGCGATCCTCCTGCCTCAACCTCCTGAGCAGCTGGGACTATATAGGCCCATGCCACCATGCCCAGCTAATTTGTTAAATTTTTTGTAGACATGGGGTCTCATTATGTTGTCCAGGTTGGTCCTGAACTCCTGGGCCCAAGCAATCCTCCCACCTAGGCCTCCCTAAGTGCTGGTATTACAAGTGTGAGCCACCACACCCAGTCTCAAAAATGAGTTTTAAACTTAACTGTACCCTGCAGAATTGTCAAAGAAACACTCAGTGAACCTATTTAAATCAGAATTTGATCAATAAATTGCCTGAAATTCTAAAATATAAGAAAGCAAAACATGAAAACATTCAAATCTGAACTGATACTCATTCTTGGTTGTTAGCTCTGCTAAATCCTCATTTCCTTATCTAATTATTATCCCTGGGGAGCAATCTATGACAGATTCATTTTAGGAAGATACCAGAAGATACAAGCAAGGCTTGTATCTTTTCTCCTTCTCCTCCCACTTTATGCAAATGAAAACTCTGGTGTCAGAAGATTTCAGAAAGAGTAGCCCAAAGCATTCTGAGATACAAAATGATTTTCCATTTCAGGAAGATGGGTGTTCTAAAGTCCTTGGGCAGGTGAAATTAATGGTGTTTATAAGATCTTTGTGCAATCCTAAATTTTAACAGAATAAATAGATTTATATGAAAAGCGCTGTAGGAATTTAAACGGGGTATGGCACAAATTTCTTGGCTTCAGGCTAACCGTATAATTAGGTCATAAAGACACACATGATTCTCTTCCAAAGAATGTATGGTTTTGGGGGGGTTTTGTTTTTTACTGGAACTGCCAAAATTCCACTGAAATGTATCAAATCTCGAGAAAATCATTCTAAGTTAATGAAGTTTAAAAAAAGTTATTTATTTTAAAAATAGATGAAATTATATACTATACCAAGAGTTTGATGTGGTTCACCTTCTTCAAACTTTCCTGCAACCGTTGACTCTGAAAATGACAAAGAACAGCTTATATGATTTCATTAGACTGATGTAAGTGGCTTTCATGAGGGTCTTTGCAGGTCTGCAAACAAAGATCTCAGGTAGACAAAGTCACCTGCAACTTGGTGATTTCTAAGTTTGGCTGCCAATTTTTGCATTTCAAAATCTGCAAATATTTCCTAATCTTTCAGTTAAAAGTTACACGTAGTGATTCAGGAAAAGCTGTTTGTAATGAGACATATGTGAATCCATCATATTAGCAATATAAGTCAGTCATTCAAAAACTACTGAGTGCAAATGTGTACAAGTCACAGTATCAAATATCGGGGGAGACCAATGATAAGTCTCTTGAGAACACAGCGTGCTCAAGAGATGGGTAAAAGCATGGCTCTGCCGCTTGTCACCTGCAGGACCATGGATAAGTTATCTGCCACTTACTACCTATGACCCTGGACAAGTTATTTAACCTCCCTGTGCTTCAGTTCCCTCAACTATAAAATAGAGATGACAGTATCTCTCTTACAAGGTTGTTGTGAAGATTAAATGAGTTGATACACAGTAAGTGCTTAGAAGCAGTGTCTAGAACACAGTGTGCCTTATGCGAGTGATGGCTACCGTCATTATCAACGCCATCAACACCACTGTATTAATGTCTCAATCCCAATTCCCTCATCACTGATAGAGGGATAATAATAGTATCTAACTCATGGGGTTGGGATACATTAATTCAAATGATATTCACTGAGTATTGGACAGTGGAAAACCCCTCATGAAAACTCACTCACTATATGTTATCAGTGGAACTTACATTCTAGTGAAGTTGTGGGGATCAAATGAGATGACGTATATAAAGTACCTCGTGGTGCCTGGCACAGAGTAAATGCTCCATAACTGCTACCCAAGATGATGATGATGATGATGACGACGACAACGATGACAAGGACGAGGAGGAAAAGGAGAACACTAATTCTACTCTCAGGGAATCTGTGGTCTAGTATGAACTACAAGGTATGAATGTACACAGATAACCACATCTGCCAAATTTCCATGCAGCTTAACATCTGCATTTAACATGGGTGAGTCAGCAGTAGGATATCATTCAAATCCTCAAGAGTATTTGAGATCAGCTACAGTTTTTATTTGAAGGAAGATGCCAGAGCTGTGGTGACCTCAAGGGTTTGGTAATTAATGTCAACATTATTTTTCTGCACGCCATAGGCCAAGGGGAATTGAAAAATTCTCCCTTGAGTGCCTAAACCTTCCCTAAATTGACTAAGTTACTACAGCAATAAAGGCTTCTCTTTCCTAAGAACCAAACCATAAGATGTGAGTTAATAGTACAATGAGAACACTCCTAAAAATATGGTGCTTTTGTAAGCATGAGTATAAACCTCAAAATTATTTTTTAACATAAAAATGAACCATCCTAACATACTATGAACCAAAGACTACTACTAGAGCAATATGAAAATACTAATTTTTCTTAAATATAAAAATGATCCTTGATGAAGAACCAATTCCCCAATAATATATTTAAGACAAAGATTTAAACCTGTATGATTAGCTTACTATATTATCAGGTACTACTGTAAGAACTATATGTGGATTAACTCATCAAGTCCTCACCACAGTCTTTTGTTATATTATCCCTATTTCATAGATTAGAGAATGGAAGTGTTGAGAGGTGACATGCTTCTGAGCCCAGGCAGGGCTCAGCTCTCACATTGCATAAATGACTTTTTTTTTGCTTTCCAAATACTCTTGTCTGAACGTTTGTGTCCTCCGAAATTTCACATGTTGAAACCTAATCCCCAGGTATTAAGAGGTAGGGCCTATAGGAGGTGATTACAGTAAGAAGATAGAGCCCTCATGAATGGGATCCATGCCTGTATAGAAGAGGCTAAAGGGAGTGTGTTCACCCCTTCGGCCATGTGAGGACATGTGGAAGTGGCTGCCTTAAGGAACGGGCCCTCGCTAGACATCAAATCTGCTGGCACCTTGATCTTTGACTTCTCAGTCTCCAGTACTGTAAGGAATAAATTTCTGTTGTTTATAAACTACCCAGTCTAAGGTGTTATGTTATGGCAGCCCGAATGGATTAAGACACTAAACTACAGCATAATTACATATTTTTCACAATTAGAACACCTGAAATAGAAAGAGGATGAGAATTGTTCCCAGAGCCCTGCAATTTGGGAACCTAAGCCAGCTGGTGTTAAAAATATCCATGCTCTCCATAACCAACCTTTAACCTTCCTACTCCCTAACCCTGGAAAGTCAGTCAGTCATGGGGAACAAAGGGGAAGAGCAATCCCCACAACTTTCTGCATCCTTCTCCACTCCTTAGGAAGACATCTTGTAATTTCTTATTCCATGCTGACATTGATACTCCTTTTAATCTGATTTGTTCTGGACACAAGTGCTGAGACAACCCCGGCAGTCTCTCCCAGAACTCTGAGCAAGAAAGATACATGTGCAATTGGTCTGCTTGCTTATGAGATGGTCAACCCAGACAATGAGGTTCTGGAAGGAAGATACATAAATGAAATTATTTTTCTGTCTCTGCTTTTGCCAAGGAGTCTTTGTGACTCATTTCAATTTCGGGTTTCTACTCACCAGTTGACAGGCATGCTTTATTCTCTCCACAATCCCATCAAGTCCCAAGTATTGTAACGACAACCACAGTGGCAGGGCACGGAGTTTGTCTGTTGGTTTATTTGATGTAAGACCAGCAACTAAAGTCTAAAAAAGCCAAATATGGGTTTATTAAAGACACTGAAATCTCACAACAGAACTAACTAGCTAAGATTTACTATACACTTAGTATATGATAGATGCTATGCTAAACACCTGGCTTGCATTCATCTATTTGATCTTCCAACAACTCTATGAAGTAAGTATTCTAAGTAAGTTAGCTCAGAGACCTTGCTTTGTCTAAGGGTTCATGGCTAAGGAGTGGCAAAGCCAGGATGAGAATCCAGACGGATTCACATCCCAGAGCCAGAGCTCCTAGACATTCAAAAGGTACCCCCTTCCAAGGTTGCTCTGAGCATCCTCGAATACCTGGTCATTATCAACTGAGCAAGACACCAACTATTTTAGCAATAATCACTTAAATCTTATTTTGCACATGCCTATCACTGATACAGCATCAAAAACCACAACTATTATTTTTTAAAAAATATGTTACAACCTATTGGACAACATGGACCAGGAGCCTTAAAATGCTCCCATTCAGTAATTCCACTTCTGGGAATCTATTCTAAAGAAACAACTTGAAATGTAGAAAGAGATGTTCATTGCCTCATTATTTCAGTAACAAAAATTTGAAGACATCCTAAAAGTTCACAAATGAAGACTAATTAAGTAATGACAGACATTATGCAATCATAAAATATCATAAAAATTCTTTATACACATAGGGAAGTATGGGGTAAATAGAAAAATACATACGGTATGGTTTCACTTACGTTAAAATTTTTTTTAAATGTAATATAAGTGGAATTAAGGATATTTTTCACTTTTTCCTTTGTTTTTCTGTATTCTGCCCCTAAGCCAATAACGAGTATGAACCACTCCCACTCCCTCTCCAGTGAGAGTAAGCTCACCAAGGCGGGATCATCGTGTTTATAGAGCGTCACTGCAGGGACAGCTGGCAAACCCAGCCACGGGCCAGGAGTCATCGTCATGCTGTCACATTTAGTTGCAGCCTACCAGAAAAAAGAACAACTCTTTGTTAAGTTACGAGAATACACAAAACCCAACACCCTCCTCCATTCATAAAAACCGTGAAAAGCCATCAGGGATTGAGTGGTTTTAAATTCCTTCTTTAAAACACCAATATTTAGTAAATCAACAACATACCAGCACTGATGAGGAGACATAACCTAGAGCCAATGTTGCCAGATTCACACTGGAAGAAAAAACACCAATCTAAGAACTAATTATTTAATGTGGCTTATTCACTAAGTACGTACTTAAAAAAGTCTGTGCTGTTGCCAAGTTGACATTTAAGTGTCTTTCAGCTGTGTTAATTTTTATAACAGCAACAGAAGATACGGTTTATACCAATTTCAGGAACATCTTGAAAATGCATTCAAATCAAAATGTTTCAGGGGACATCCCCTACTTATGCCAATACATAACGGCAGTATTATTCTCTACCTTCCACAGCTCCTCTTTTCTAGTCATCATGTTTTTCTTAGGGATAAAATAAAAGACAACTGCCTTGTATGACATGGTGGGTATGGGCTGTACTGACCACCCTGCATCCTCTCTCCTCTTAACAGCACTCTAACAGCCTTCTGGGAAACCATCCCAAACCCCTCTATCAACCACCAACTGCTCCAGAGGTTGGCAAACAACCTAAACTATCAGAGGATTACTTTTTCCTGGCCACAGTGATTGGTTCAATATGAGATTCCTGGTTGGGACTTCTGACCCACTGAACACAAAGCTGGAAAGAAGGCTGGAGTTTGTGCAACTACTTTGCACCATAACATGAAAGTCTGTCCACAGTCTGAGCTGATACAAAGGAAATCAAGTCAAATGATTGTGATTAGGGGAGGGGACAGAGAGGAAGACATTGAATCCTGGTTAACATTGTGCCTAAAGCCAGTCCCTAACACTAGTCTTTTTAGTTATGTGAGCCAATAAAATCTCCTTTTGCTTAGGCTAATTTGGGTTACTTTGTTACATGCAGCCAAAAGAGCCCTTAGTGATTAATGTCTCTACTAAGTAAGAACCTAGATGTCCACTCTTCATCAGGACTATGTGCAGGCCCAACACAGAGCCAACCAACCTCACCAATCTACTTACCCCTCCACGTGAAGCCATATGCCGTACTGCTCACAGAGTTCTTTCAATCGCCCAATCTTGTCTGTGTGTCCTACTGCTATAGTTCCTAGGATAAAACAAATAAACAAGGATACTAAAAGGAACAAACATTTTCTGAGTCTTTACAGCATGAGAGCTTTTATACACATTATACCCCTAGGAGGGAAGTGACTTCTTATATCCCTATTTTATTGAGATTTTCTTTGTACAAGTTTTGAAAAATGTGTATTCTCCATTATATGTATGTAATTGTTACTGAAATCTTTTACAAACTTATTTTCTATCTACTCGATCTGTTGATTGATGAGAAAAACATTCAAGTCTCCCACCATGATTGTCGGTTTGTCAATTTATACATATGTTATATCAATTTTTTCTTAGTTTTCCTTTATACATTGCAAAGTTATGTTCACAAGCATTCATAACTGTTATTTCTTTTAGTAAATTATGTCTTTCGTCATATGAAGTCTATTTTATCCAATACCTATATTGCTATGGTACTTTCATTTTGGTCAGCATTTGCCCAAGATATCCTTTTCTACTCTTTCATTGTCACTTCCTGGGTGATATTGATTTAGATGTGTCCTTTATAAAAAATACACAGACGAATTTGGGTTTTTCTCACCCAGGTTCTTTGAACATGCATTCTGAAGCCAGTTTAAATATATTAAACACTTTAAGCCACGCCCTTGGTAATTTGATTGCACTACAAATTTTGCTGGGCAGATCCCTTTTCAGACAGAGCTTAAGTAAAACGTGGAGTCATGCACTCTCCCAACCATCCTAAATTTCCAGTTAGCAGCATGCCAACTAGTAAGATTTCAAACCTTCATCAACTGCCTCAACAAACACAAACTAAAGAAAGTGGTTCTTTTGTGAGGTCTATGCCCGGAAAAGGGCAAAAACTTTTCCCCCTCACATGTAAGTCTATCTTAAATTAAAAAAACAAAACAAAACAACCCTTAACTGACACATTTAGTTTATCTGAAACAAGATCAAACACCAATGCATAGGTTTTGCCACATAACCCGTCCATCAAAACAAAAGCAAAGCGCTATGTTTTAGTGATTGGACCATGTTCAGATTCCCTTTTCGTATTTCTTGGCAATGTCTGCTGACTAACCTTGAGATGTGTCTTCTGGCGCCTGCAATTTAGTCACACTAGTAAGTCACTCAGTCACATGCAAACTGCAGCCCCTTCAGTCTAACAAATGATTGAATGTGGGTGGATCTGTGTTTCTTTTTAAACAAGTCAGGCAGGAAGTGGAGGTTTTCCTGCTGGTAATAAAGTGGATATTTAAGTGGTTTTCCTTTTTTTTGTTTTTTGTTGTTTTAAACAAACAGCTTTACTGTAGTATAATTTGCATGCAATAAAATTCACTCATTTAAGTGTATAGTTCAATGAGTTTTGACAAATGCATACAGTGTGTAACCACTGACACAATCAATATATACAATATTTCTATCACCCCAAAACGTTCTCACCCCACTGCAGTCACTCTTCTCATTCCTCACTGGCCCCAGACAATCCTGATCTGTTTCTGTTACTGCAGTTTGTCTTTTCTGGAATTTCATATCAATAGAATCATACATTATGCAACTTTTTGTGTCTGGCTTTTTATACTTAGCATGCTTTTGAAATTCATCCACGTTGATGTATCAGTAGTACTTTCCATTTACTGCTTAGTATTCCACTGGATGGATATACCACAATTTATCTGTTCACCAAGTGAAGAACATTGGGTTGTTTCAGTTATGAACATTAGCACACAGTCTGTGTGGAGATACATTTTCGGTTCTCCTTGATAAATACCCAGAAGTGGGACTGATAGGGAATCTGGTAATTTCGGGTTTAGCCCTTTGAGGAACTGCCAAACTTTTCCAGAGTGGCTGTAACATTTTGCATCCTACCAGCAACATATGAGAGCTGCAGGTGCTCTGCAACCTCACCAGCATTTGGCATTGTATTTTCTTTTTTTCGAGCTAGGGTCTCAGTCTGTTGCCTGGATTAGAGTGCAGTGGTGTGATCACAGCTCACTGCAACCTCTAACTCCTGGACTCAAGCGATCCTCCTGCCTCAGCCTCCCAAGTAGCTGGGACTATCGTCATGCACCACTGTGCCCAGCTTAAGTGTGACATTTTAAAATTCAGTTTAGAAAGGATAAAGGAAGTGCAATCTAAATGAAAAAGAGTACACATATATGCAAAATAACTTCCAAAACAAATCAACAATTAAAGAAAATCTAATGAGCTAACTTTACCATTATAGTTTCCATCACAATGTGGATACAAACTATCTTAAACATGTGGCACACAAACATTTCTCAAGAACTGGCCTTTTTTAGGCTAAGTACTTAGCCTCCCTCTTATATATGCAAAATGGAAGATTCAGGTTCATGACGCCTACCAGCATTTGCGACAAGCAACAGGGGCAGTCTTCCTCGTTCTATGTCATCTTTAATCAGTTTCTCCAGGAAGGCAACATCCTAGGACCAAAATACAAACCATAAAAAAATGAGGCAACCAATATAATTGCTATACAGTGAAAAATTACAACTTCCAAAAAAGAAGCAGATGACTCTCAAAATTAATCACTTGAATCAATTCTCCATTCTTGACAATTTTTCTGTTTTCTCTAATCATAGATATGAAAATCAAATAGTTTTCCTTGAAGACTAGAAAAACTGGTTAAATGAGATTAAAGGTAAAAACTCTATATATGTGAGAACATTTCTCTAGTTTTAAACATTTAATAAAGAAAATGTTCCCTAAATGCCCCCTTAAAACAGCCAAGAATATATTTCTACCACTACTCATTGATGTACCTGAACTAGAAAATGAAACTACCTTGAAAAAAAGAAATGCAGAGCTCTAAAATCTATCGCCTCTCTTCTTTTTCCTTTTGGATTCAGTATGGAGCGGTTTATCACTTGTATGTCTAAAAATAAGATGAACTAATTCCATAATTACAACAAACAACCTCATTTTCAAAATCTGCCCATTCATAAATATAGGCAACAGTGATAACTACTTAAAGTACGAGCTTTAGAAGGAATTTCTGGTGCTTAATTGGGCCGCCATGTTTCTACTTAAAGCAGGTAATATAGTGATTACAAGATTCCTTAAGAGCCAGGTGCTCCTGACCTATGTACCAACCAGCCTTCATGGGCATTCACAAAGAAGCATGTATTACACAATGGAAAGACCTAAACAGTAAATGAATAAGCTAATAATAATCACCAGCAGGCCTGCACACAGCACTTCATTGGAAAGGAACACAGTTTCAAAACATAATTCTATATTATTTTACAAACCCAAAGAACTCACCATCTGATGCTGGGATCCAAACATAGTGTTACAGGGCACACGACACAAGCAGGGGAAGGGCAAGCCAAGCTACAAGAAGAAACATGCAACTGTATAAAAAAGTTCTCTGCACCATTCACTTTGTGAAAGATTGTGGCTCTAAGACAAGACACAATCATTCTGTTAAAAAAAATCTCTCTCCTTAGGAACTCTAAATATTATAAATAGATGTTAAAGCACATTTAGAAAGTCAAGCCAAAAAAAGGGCGAATTTCCAAGTGCTTTATAAGAGGATACGATGTAAAATTTTCTAAATGAATCAAGTAACTATTTTTGGTATATTCTAAAATATACCAAAAGACAAAAACACTTTTCTAAACAGAGAAACAACTCGGCCCTGAGCATTTCTCGGGAGTAATTTAGGATTCTTCCTCCAAGCATTACTGGTAAATAACACCAGCTAAAGGCACTCAAAGAACAATATCTTATTTATGGGTCCACTCACCACTAAAAAGTAATAAATATGGATTAGCAGATATACATTTCTTAAGAGAAGTGAAGTCAGTGTTATGGATGGAGTTACTGTCAAATTAATTTCATATTCTTCATATTTAGCTTCTAAACTCTTGAGTTTATAGTGTTAGTAATCAAACGGTTGTAGCATATTGTTCTGTATAACTAAGACTTGATAGAATTTAAACACTAAAAATTTAATGAGCACTTTATTCACACATTTTCCTCCTTAAAGGATTTTTTAAAAATTACGAATGTGATACCCAAGTAAAACAAATCATCAAAAAAATACAGCTATTGGAAGTGAAAATTCCCTCCCAACCCCCCAAAAGTCACCAGTCCACCACTGTTAACAGTTTAATATATAACTTTACAGACATTTTCTAGGTATAACTATATTTATATATTTTTCTAGGTATAAAAAATGTTCAAGTATGTACACACTTTTAAAACATGAACATGACCATCTTATATATACTGCTCTGTCTCCAGCCTTTCTCACTTAATAGAAAACACTCCTGCATCTTCTGAAGATTGGATTATTGTCCCAAGACAGCCTTTGGTTCATAAGAGCTTTAGTTGCAGTAGGTATTCAATAAGTAATTTGTTTAATGTTTCTGTAGGAATATTATAAAACTCATTTTGAATACCCTCAAGAAGAGGACTTTAATTTCCTGCCTCCAGTGATCACAGATCAGAATCAACTTAAGACCTTGAGTTTCCTCTACATATCCCCTCAAGGACTCCTATATCTTACAGAAGAACCCTCCAATCCTACGTGTTTTGTCTTAAAACATTCTTGGCCAAAAGGGTTAACAATTTCTTGTCTCAAGGTAGTCTCCCCAGTTGGGATACATGCACCATGACTTTAAAAATGGTAATGCTCTTTAATCTTACAATTTTAGACTGACTCTGAAAATCCATCTGAGGAATACGACCCTAAATATAGAAAAAGAGTTATGCACAAGGATGTTCACAACAGCACTACACAAAGAGCATTACCTAAAAATGGTCATAGACAGCAAAAGAATAGAAACATTCTAGTTGTCCAAAAGGGAAAGTTAATTAAATTACTATACGCTCACTGGAAGAAATATTATGAAGACATTAAAAACAAACTTTGCTTTGAAAAATTGTTAAAACTCCTGTTATGACAGTGAGTAAAAAAAGCCAGACATAACCACGTAAACACACACACACACATCCTTTGATCAAAGTCTGGAAAGAAATAAAGTAAAATGTTGACTATGGTTGCTTTCAGGCAATTAAAAATATATCTATCATATATTAATAAATTTAGACATATATGATGGACTGATATGTCTAAATTTATTAATATATATTTTTATATAATGACAAAACAAGCGTATATGAAGACCATCTTTTTTTTTTTTTCCACTCAAAAAGAACAGCAGCTAGAGAAAGGGGTCTATACACTTTAAAAGTTTCAGGACAAAACATTGTTTCTTTAAAATATCCACCTTACATCACATTACCTGATTACAAAGGTATTGGCCCAGGCCAGGTCTAGCAGCAGCACTAAGATATATCACAGGTTTTTTGTTATATAACACATCGAATCCATCCACTACAAAGTCTTCATAACGAGAATGAATGGCAAGCCTACAGATCTTTGCAAGTCCTTCTCTTTCTTCTTCATGGAAATAAGCACAGCCATTTTCATACCTGTTAAGAGACACCCTTCTATTAATATGCTCTTATTTCTGGTTAATTCTGATTTTATAAGCCAATCTTATGAAGGCAGTTCTTTTCTCAAGCTAGAAACTGTCATCTAGATCCAGCAGAGAGGAATGTGAAAAATCCTCAGCTTAGATGACTGACAACTCATTACAGTTGGTCGTTATAAAGGAGACAATGACCCTTCATCCATACCCAACTCCATAAAAAACAGAAACTACGCAAACAAGTAGAGACTAGGAGTCCCACAGATACAAAAAGCCTGAAGATCATGGTTCTGACTAAGGCCAGCACTGGATAACGAGGGCGTAGTTATTAGCAGATTAACAGCCCTAAAACATCCAACGTAAATAAAACTGCCAAGAACACCAATCAGGCTAACTTTTGCTTTTACTATAATCTGTCTGGGGCTTTTTATTCTTTTCAATCACCTAGGAGGGACAATTTCAATTACAGATATTAGATTTTTACTAGAACAACGAAAAATTTCTCCTTTAATAAAGTTAAGCAACCTTACACTCTTGCTAGGCCAAGCTCTTTCCCAACATCTGAAAGTGAGGGTCTCAAGTTAAATGTTTCAGTGATAGGCAAACATTCCTTTTCCATTAAAGGAATAGCATAAACACAGTAACATGGATCCTGTGTCTCCTACTGAATCCTTAATCTGTTGTAATTCCTTAATTATGCCAACATTATCACAGTATAAAGCAAATTTCAATTTTATAACATATACTCATTTCCCTTAAGACAGAGGTTCCTTTCTACTAAAGAACAAATTAATATTTTAAAAGTATAGTCGGCCCTCCAAATCTGTGGGTTCCGCATCCATGGATTCAACAAACCATGAATAGAAAATATTCAGGAAAAAAGGATGGTTGTCTGTACTGAACATGTACATACTTTCCTCATCATTATTCCTTAAATGATACAGTAACAACTATTACACAGTATTTACACTGTATTAGGTAGTATATGTAATCTAGAGATGATTTTAAGTATATGGGAAGATGTTCATAACTTATATGCAAATACTATGCCATCTTATATAAGGGACTTGAGGATCTGTGGACTTTTGTATCCGTGGGGGGTCTTGAAATTTGAATTCGGATCATTGCTCTATTTTCTATTAACATGTCCCAATTAGAAACCCTAAAATAAATAACTGTTGACACTATCACACACATAGGTGCTTATACTCTCTCTCTTTATATATATTAATCCAGTTAATTAATTTACTGGATTAGCTCATTTAATCCTCACAAGTCCATGAAATAGTTATAATGCTCTCCCTATTTAACAGCTGGTGAAACTGAGGCCGGCAGAGGTTAAGAGGCAGCAAATCTGAACTGAAGTAGTATAGTTCCAGAAAAAGCTCTCTAACAGTCTATACCCAACTCATAAATGTCTTCACTGGAAACTAAAAACTCATCATGTCTTTACCTGAAAATTCTGCATAGCCATAAGGTAGTATCTGAAAGTATCCTAGTTGTAAGTTTCCTCAGCTTCTCTTTGTCCAGAGTTGAAATATAAGCTCCCAGACTATGCCCCAACAAAGCCATGTGACCTTGTTCTCCAATATTCTGGATTCTGTTAAGCAAAATTTATTAAAGAAAGTATTAGAGTCAAAGCACAAAAAAGGACATAGAGCTTAGGGACACAGTATTCCACAGAAATTTCTGTCAGACTTTAAATTCACTTAATGACCTAAAAGGCAGAAATCCAGATTAATTTAGAAAATTCCATGCATATAAAGTATTGATTGTTTAGGCAGAAAAATACTTTAAAATTCAAGTCCTAAGAGATAAATACCTGGCCGGGCGCAGTGGCTCACGCCTAGGCAACAGAGTGAGACTGTCTCAAAAAGAAAAAAATAAATAAATAAATACCCTCTTGCTTTTTCTTTTTTGTCTCCTTGTAACTATGAATTACTCCTCTTTTTACTGAGCATCTACAAACTATTTTTGAATAATTTCCTTTGAAAATATTTTTAAATTAAATACCAGCCTTAAGAACTATGCAGGGTAGAGCTAAAATAAAATGGGCAGAAAATGCTTTTTAAAGAATTATCAAAGATCAGGCCAGGCGCAGTGGCTCACGCCTGTAATCCTAGCTCTCTGGGAGGCCAAGGTGGGCGGATTGTTTGAGCTCAGGAGTTCGAAACCAGCCTGAGCAAGAGCGAGAC